GTACGTCACCATTGGACTTATAGAAACGAAGATATATAACTAAGGCCTTTTTGACATGCTGCTTTTCTGTCTTATTGTATTTTATTGGTTAAATCCTATCATTTGAGGTGCTGTACATCACGACTGGACCAATTGGAGCAAAAATATGCAATATATACCCCGTTATATATAGCCAATATGTAACCCGTTATTTTTAATCAAACAAGATGCTAGAATGATTTATGGATGAAAAAAATATATATAAATTCTTAAATTTACCATTTCGTTGTGGGTAATATTATATTTAACAGCGATGCCAAATTTCTGATGCCAAAATGATTGATAATGAAAGTGCGATATACATTTTCATGTATATAATGGCAGCGACTAAACGGTAAAACACTGAACTAAATATATATAATATTTTCACTGTACCATCATTTTAGACTCAAACATTTCCTGGAATAAACTTATATAACTCAGTAAGGGATAAAAAGAGAAAGCGGACATTTTAAAATACCAACACGGTATAAAATCTCTAATCATTGAGATGGTTAAAATTCTTGTAACAAGTACAGGAAAAAAGTTATTAAGGTCTTGTAAAGTAGCGTCGATATACAGATGCTACTTTGCAAGACGATGCTAAATTGATGGTAAAAGCATAATGTATCGATGCCAAAATGATAGTAGGATGTATATATATATATATATATATATATATATATATATATATATATATATATATATATATATATGTCAATGGTATAAAAACATACAAACAATACAATTATTAATACAAACCACGAATAAAATAAATCGGTGTTTACAAAACAAAATACAAAAATAAGAATATAGTAAATAAACCGGAACAAACGCAAAATGTCCAATTGACAATGTTCAATTGCGATCGCGGCACAAATGCGATGAGGTTCCAACAAATATCAAATAAATATATCAAGTGCACGTACTTGATATATGCAGCAAATCATATATAAATGGTGTATTGTTCCTTACCCCATGAAAAAGATAGCCCCAACGCTATCGCAAATTACGCCTTCAGCGGCCGACTTCCACTACACAAGTTTTTGATGCACATTTTCGTCTTTTTTGGTCAAAAGACCGATAAGGAGTCAGGTACTCTTCGTCTTTACATACACATCTGCATCGGTTGAGAGATGCATTTCGACTCTTGTTTTGTAACAAACGCAAACCCTTATTTTAACTTTAAAAACACATGTGGCATGTGGAAATCGTCCTTTATTGTCTCGCAGATGGCCGCCTTGGAATGTTTAGCTCTTATATCTTTTTGGCCCTTAAACACTGCTGTGCAATTGTATATGCAAAATCTCAGTGTGAATATACGGGGAGAATCGAAACTATCAAAAAGTCTGTTAATATATTTACAAATGTTTATATATAGTTGCGAAACTGCAACAGTTCCTTCAACGTCAGTATGCCAGCCAATAACTGAATGCCCTGGTCAATCGAACGATACAGATACAGGTGAAGTTCCTGGTGTGTCAGTCGAACAAGAGGTGTTTCAACATCCTACTTCATCGGTAAAAGAAATCTCTAAGAAAACTCAAAACAAACTACCTGTTCGCTTTAAATGTAAACAAAATATTAGAAAGTGTTTACGGCAATCTGGAAAAGCCTATATTTCAATGAAGGTTAGGTACTAGTGAAGTGCTCATGGCGTCAAACACAAAGATTGTACAAAGTGCCCCAGAAAATGTAGTCAAGTTTTTTCGAAATATCATAGAATAGAAATTCATAATGTTTATTGGGTCTTAGAAAATTCAGAAAACCAAAGGCAATATATATATATATATATATATATATATATATATATATATATATATATATATATATATATATATGTATATATATAATATATATATATATATATATATATATATATATATATATATATATATATATATATATATATATATATATATATATATATATGTATATATATAATATATATATATATATATATATATATATATATATATATATATATATATTATATATATATATATATATATTTATATATATATATATATATATCTATATATATATATATATATATATATATATATATATATATATATATATATATATATATATCAACGTTGGTTGAGGTGACGACCAAAAAAGTCAAAACTACAGTCGAAAATTCAAGGCGAAACAACTCGCGGCAGTTTTTCCTGTTCAATGGTGGCCAAAAAGTGCAAGTATGTCAAGGTTTCTTTCTTTCAACACTAGATATATCTGAAGAATTCGTGCAACATATTTTAAATAACAAAAATGAGGGCAATATTGTTGTACCCATCAGAAGAGGAAGGCACCATGCCGGTATTACTAGACCATCTGAAGACGAAGAAATGATAGAAAATCACATATTATCATTTTTTTAATGTGCCATCCCATTACTGTCGAAAAAAAAAACAAATTATAAATATTTAGCAGAAGATCATCAGATTTATCATCAGACCATGCTAATGATAAAAAATTTGTCATCATGAGTGATACTTGCGGTGGCCACAACTGGAGTGTCATTTTAGCAGCGACTCTTCTTTATGCCGTACAGGTATTGGATATTCCTGAAATTGAACATGGTTATTTTGAACCAGGATATTCAATGATGGAATGCGATTCGGTCCACGCCCATATTGAGCAATAAACGAAAAACTCAAATATATATCATCCTTCTGGCTGGTATGCAGCGGTCGGAATGGCGTCAAAATAATCCAAATCCAAGGTAATAGAGATGAATCAAGCTATGTTTTTTGATGCTATAGCTTTAAGAAAAGAAAATAATTAACACAAATAAGTTGACACTGATGGTAACAAGGTAAACTGGCTGAAAATAACCGTACTAAAATATATTAAACAAATCATATTTATTTTAAATATGACAAGACCTGTCCTGAATTCAAAAGAATCAAACTCATACGACGGATGACAAGGGGAATTACCAATTATAATAATTTAGAACGTCAACAGGTATATACTCATCCTATGAAAGTGGTTGCTGAAAAACTGGAAGATTTAAAGTACCTTTGCGATCAAGGTGTAAGACCACCTCAGTATCACAGTTTCTACGAAGAGCTAAATAGTGGTATACACACGGTGACACACATTTATTAATATTGTGCATAATTAATTTTTAATTTTAGTATTGTATATTTATATTGTATAGTATACTTATATGTATTTTTTAATTTTTTGTATTTTTATAAATAAATAATACCAGTCTATTGCTTAACGTAACTTAGTATATAAAAAAACAAGTAATAAATTAATAACACATAAACATATCTCAACATTAACACGAAAAACATTTTTTTTACTATATACAAAAATATTCAAGACTCCATTTGTTTACAGTTTTAGGATTGTGAATAATGTATAAAAACTCTTGTAGAGTAATAATTTATGAATATTTGAAATCAACAGTAATATTTCTTGTAAAACCAAACTAAAAGGTGTTTATCAGTATTTTTCCATAATCAATAAAATTGAGATACATTTGTTTGTTAATAAGGAGACATATTGACAGTTCATGATATATGTACTGGTAAAGATAAAGTGACATCATAGAAGAAACACTGTCCACCAATGAATTTATGAAACTATAATAGGGCAAGATCAAAAAACATTGTTACACAATTACCTGGACCACAACAGGTTAGCCATAATTTGGCAGATCCTGTAGAAATCTGAAAAAAGTTTTTTTATAAGTCTATTATCAATACCATTGTTACCTATACCAATCAGCACATTGAGAAATTTGCTCAAGGACCATATGCCAAAGAAACTTATATGAGGCCTACTGATGTTTTGTGGAGTGGAAGCATTGGTTGGTTTATTGTACTTGACTGGAGTTAAAAAAATAAACAGATTGAATTGTGATAAAATTGTTGGTACTACCAGTGATTCACCAGAGTTGTTTCATTTGACCATGTCAGAACAATGTTCCCTTTTTCTCCTCCGGCATATAAGATTTTATGACTGTGATACATGAGAAACCAGAAAAGTTGTAGATAAACTAGCTCCAATTCGAAATGTGTTTTGCCAAGTGAATGAAAACTGCATCAATAATTTTGAAATTGTCCTCAACAGTATATACCCTCCAAGTCTACTAAGTACAGCATTCTCCTTAGCAGATGCTAAATGTTTTATACCACTAATAAGTAAGTATATGTCGGTAAACAACCAAATGTTTCTCCATTTCAAACTTAGTAAGTCCATGATTAATTTGATTTGTAGAATCATTCAGCCAATTAGTAGATCTAATTAAAATATAACCACTGATAACTGGATCAAAAAGAAGATATCGCAGAAGAAGTTTGGTGACAGAACTATCCAGAGGTCTCGTAAAAAAACATGTGATAAGAAGTCAAGCAGATCAACACATACCACGTCCCAGCCGAGAAGGAAGACAACAAATATGGAAGGCAACAAACCCTTTTTTTGTATTTGCGTCAGAAATGTATTTTTTATTTTTATTAAGGAATAAGCAATTACTTGTTCTATTTTTTTGTGTTTTTGGATTAAGTATGATATGAAAAATGTGTTTATAAGAATGTATAAAGCAATATGTCGCTATAGATCCAACATACTGAGGTCACCAGTAATGTGTAAATTTCATACATCACCACTGGAGGGTTAAATATTTTGCCTCTCGAATATATACTTTCTTTATTGGTTTGTGCAGTATATGGGTTAATTATTGTTTACGTTTTGTATGGAATGGTGAAAGTTGTACCTAATACCAACTGGTTTTAATTTTTTAACTTTATTATAGTGTTAATCTTTAAATATACTATTAATGATATATTCAATACCAGAATTACTACAGATGTACCGTTTTTTAAAAGATTCTAAAATATGTATTTTAATTAATTTCCAATGTTTGTAAAACAAGATCTGATATTAAAAGTTTATCACTAGGATCTGAGTTGAAACTTTTCTATTGATTTACTGAAATTTATTAAAAAAGCTATTCTCACCTGCTTCAACATGATCCAATGTTAAGGTATCATTTAAAAACTTGGCTAAACTAAGTAGAGTAACAATACTAGTTACAGGATTATTAGCTCCTGAAGTATCTTCAAACATAGAAGTGGTATCAAATCTTGCAGCAACAACAATAAATGAATAGTCTTTTATAGCTTTGGTTTCATTTCTTTTGGGACCTTCTGCTAGGGGATACAAACTAGCCCAAATATTATTATCACCTAATGGATCACAAAATTTAACTGGATTCAAAGTTGTAATTAAATCTGAACGCCTAAAAAAAATAATTTATGAGAATACTAATTTATGCAAAAAATTAATTTTATTAAGATTGTCAAGATGAAACTCTTAAGTTTCATTCAGGATCATAACAGGGTTGAATTTACCAACATTTGCATGTGCCATATTGTTTTTAATGGATAAAAAATGATCAGTATCCACTGAAATCTGCTGATAATGACCCTGGTTAATTTACTCTTTAATTAGATCAGGAAGAGGGAGTGTTTGATAAAGGAGACGAACCTTGTTGTTGACTTATTGAAGTCCCTTCTTGAAACTTAATTTGATTGAAATGGGAGAAATGATTTGTAAAAGTTGATGTGGCAAGGCAGTAGAGGCTATTGAAATAGTGGCAGTTTTTTTGAGTTAGCTTCTGGAGGTTGTGATGGAAGGGTTTTTATGAGACAATTTGGTGGTTAATTTATCAAAAATACTGACTTCATTATATATGATAAAGAGAATAACCTGTCATCAGAATTATTGGTACCTCTTTAGTAAACACATAGAGGGTAGCTGTGGCCTAGGACAAGTATCAAGTATATCTAAACTACCAAAAACCATCTTCCCTGTCCTTTGTGATATTTAATGTGATACTCTTCAGGGGTATTTTCGAGGGACACAACTCTTTAGGGGCATTTTGCTGCAGAGGACGGCAAATACAAATGGGAGAAGAGAGTAAATATTTAGAGTCCATGTTAGGGCTCCAAATTGTCCTTAGAATAAGAGTAAAGATCTGAGAATATTGGTTCCAGGGTTGAAAGTGTGTAGTCAAACTTGTGAGCTGCCTGGTTAAAGTATACTATGACCACAATTGATTGTAATGAGAATTACCACTTCCAATCCAGAAATTGTTTTCAAAATTCTAAAATAGAATTATAAATAATCTTAATCTACAAATCTAATTCTTTATGCTTATCTAACTCGACCTAGATAACTTTTTTGTGTTTATTTGTGATGGGACAGTCAATTCAAAATCAAAAAGGACAAACTTTTCTTTGTTCATTAGTTTATCTCTGAGTGGTAATTTTATCATTAATATGAAAAAATCTTAAATTACTATAGATAGACCAATGATAGACCTTTCTAAATCTTCTAATTTATTAATTATGGAGATTTTCCAACCTAATTGAAGTTAGAAGAAAAGTTCCTATTACTTACGTATTTCTAGATATCTTGGGATAGAAAAAAAGATATCAACATTTATTTTTTGCTATTTTGTTTTCCACTACAAGGGGAAACCTCAAAAATAAGGTGGGTCAGGTGGTTCAAGCTCTCAAAGGAGTTAGGATCTATGGAAAGGTAAAGGAATAGAGGGAAAAGTAGTTGATAAACAAAAGCTTTGTTTTGTATGTGCTTAAGACAAAGATGTATTTAGAAATGATATATTTAAGAAATATCCTTGTTCTAAATGTAAAAGAGAAAGGACATATTTATAAGTCCTGTAACTTAATTCGGACAGTGTCAAGTTTTTAAGTATAGAAATATTTAATTGCTAGATCAGATATGTTCCTAGTGTAGCTGTGAATGCTTTCATTAGAGATTCTATTTGTGATTCATGTTTTGTTTTATTCAAGATTCATATTTTAGCAGGGAAGGCATGCTCACCTTTCAATATTTATAAAGAAATTGTCCTAATGTGAAAATCTTGTCTACTGATATTTGGATAAACATTTTAAAAGAGATGTTAGAAGAAGAAAATTGTATAGAACTACTTTCTAATTCTTGTTTTGATACATCTTTGTCTGTAAGCCTTGTAAGCTTAAAACAATGTATCATTATACAAAACTGTTTGAGAAAGCTTATACTTCTTGATTCTTTTATTAGTTCTGGATTAGATTAGTGCTAATAAATGATTACTTAGAGTTGCTTAAAAATTATTTTACATCAAAAGACCAAAAAGAAATAAAACAATATTAAAAATCATTCAGCAAAAAAAAAATTACCTTCTGCATGTGGGAGTATTGGTAGCTGCATACATAAATGCTTTCAGTTCTAATGCACATAGAGACCTGTCAATATGTTCATTAAATGAGTAGTTATTGAATTTTTTAAAACAGCTCCTTATAGTGTTTATGTCAGATTGATTTTCTATGTAAAAAATTGGAAATGGTATGTCAGCATACATCAAACCTGTACCAAGTGGATTCCAAACTGATTCTTTATTACAGGTACCATCTAAACTCGAACTAGGATTGGGACACTGGTACTCATGAGTAAAATATTCTAAACTATCATTATTCCTTTGGATGATGAGCCCATCAATTTTTTTACTACTAATCATAAATTGTAAACTTTCAGTGTTAAATAATTGAGGAGGTACAATTGGAATGTAAGGAGGTGAAGTACCATGAGCTATAATATCTTCTAAATCTTTATGAGTTTCACAAAAATGGATTACTCCATTTGAACCGCCCCATTTAGCTAAAACAATATATTATCAAATAAATAAATTGTGTATATATTGTTACTTTTACTCACATGTGCATCCTGTTTGATGGGTGGCATTTAGTCTTCTATAACATGCACTTGTGCCCCCAACTGTTTCATACATTTTATCCTTAGTTCTAATTCCATAACCTACGAAAGTTATAAATTAATTCAAGTAAAATACAAAGATAATTTTAGCTTATTACCCTTGGTAATAAACTGAACTAAAATTAATAATTTAAGAAATAAAACAAAACTTTTGGTATTATTCATGATTCACTACTATACTATTTATTTACACTTTATATACATCTCTTAATTTGTTGTCAATGTCACTCTACTCTACTTCTAACATTTACATTTATTGACATAGTTAAAACAGAAAAAAGAAGAGGAAAACTAAGGAAAATACAACACAATGGTTTTTATGCTATTGCTATGCTATTGATATGCTATGCTACGTATGACCACAGAATAATAAACAATTGTTATAATAAATAATATATTTAATAACATAATTATATAATTAATAATAAATAATAAATTGTTTATTATTCTGTGGTATACTCCATTCGCTTAGCTTGGGCATATTTTGACAGATTCATTGTCGGAAACCTACAACACAACAATTCCTACTTCTTAGTATTAATAGCTCAAGTATACTACTATTGCAGACTTCTTTCTTTGAAAAAAAGAACAATTATTCTATAGTGGAAGTGCATACTAAACCCATCAAATTTTGGGTAGTATTTATTTAAAAGATATATTTTAGTTGTTATAATTTAACATAACTAATAATTATATGGTGCAGATAAATAAATATTGATTGTCGGTAATTCATAAAGTTCTATTTTATTTACTATTTAGTTTGTTTACTATTAATATTGGCTATGAGTACGCGTGCTTGGTTGTAATTCATTCGCTCAAGTTACTATCACAGAATAATAAACAAACAGAATACCCACTCTCCACGGAAAATTAAGTACGCGCATCTCCTCCGCGCAGACGTTCCGCCATGTTTTAGGAGGATTTTAAAAAAATTAGTGTTGTTTATGTGGTGTGCATGGAAAAATAAACCAAGTTTATTTGACTTACGGCAATCATAGACATACTATACAATTATATTAACATTGGTAAATATAATAACATAAATATAATACAATTAAACATAAATATAAACAATTACATAACCACACAAATCATATGTCTGTGTCCTCCTAAAACATGGCGCGCATGCTGAAAAACTTCAAAGGCGGCATCTGAGAGTGGCCCTTCTGATTGTTTATTATTCTGTGTTACTATTTAAGTAGGTTGTCTCGTAACTATGTGGGCGAAGCGAGGGGAAGGCAGAATGCTTACGTACGTCCATCGAGCAAAAAGACAATAGAGGGAATGTAAAGGTAGTGGGGGCAAACATATTGTTAGACAGGAAGTGCGATCTTTAGAGGCCACATTAAACAAGGAAAAAGAGTCTCTCTCCTTGTTTGACATCAAATTTAGTTGGGTTATGTTATTGTTTGTCCCAAATGTCACATGAAATCTTATTTATATTGAAGTTTTTTTAACAATTGTGTCGCATTTTAGACTCTTATCATTAATAATTAATTAAAACTTTCTCGTCTAAGACACATTCTGAAAAATATTATATAGCTACTGGTGATAAGTGTCGGAAAATTTAAATTTCGCGCATTCGCATTTCCGGATATGTCCGCCATCAGAGGCCACTTTTTTGGTCTCCTTTTCATAAGGATTAGATTCCCTCTTTTGTCCAGAGATACTTTTGTCTTATTCATCGAGCAATAAGACAAAAGAGGGAATGTAAAGGTAGAAGGGGTAAACATATTGATAGACAGGAAGTGCCATCTTGAGAGGCCACTTTAGACAAGGAAAGACAGTCTCTTTCCTTGTTTAAGAAGTCAAATTTAGTTTGGTTATGTTATTGTTTGTCCCAACTGTCACATGAAATTTTATTTATATTGAAGTTTTTTACCAATTATGTCACTTTTTAGACTATTATCGTTAATATTTAATTAAAGCTTTCTTGTCTGAAAAATATTTTACAGGTATTGTTAACAAGTGTTGGAAAATTTAAATTTAGCGCCTTTGCATTTCCGGATATGTCCGCCATCAGAGGCCACTTTTTTGGTCTCCTTTTTATAACGATTAGATTCCCTCTTTTGTCTTATTGCTCGATGGTCTTATTGCTCGATGCGTACGTCACTCATACGACAACGTCAATTTTGACAGTTGTCTGCACGTCTGAGTTTAAGTTCACGTTTGTATTCGTATATTGTTTTGTGGAATTTTCCTGTAAAAATTAGTTCGTTTATTTGTTTAGTTTTATTTTTAAATATAAGTATAAGGACAATATTATTTGTAGAGACTTATTATTTAGTTATTTATGTATATAAACACTTGTGAAATGGGTTGTCGTAGCTGTGATATCAAGGTTTGTCTAACTTATTTTGTACGTTATAATAATGAAATATTTTTTAGATGAGTGGCTTTGTGGCTGGAAGATGTGTGTTTGAAGGACTAATCATTTTTTGTATTTTAATCTAATAATAAATTATTTATATTACCTATTTGTTTTTTTTGCCTGCCACTAGATATGATAAGAATGCTGCAAATTCCAGGAAAACATAAAAAGTAAGTTCCTACATATTTAGTATTTTTGATTTTGAACTTTTTCTACTATTTTTTTTGAGTTTTTGTGCGAAATAAACTGTTATCTCCGTTTAAAACACACAATATTATCAATATAATCAATTCTATTTTTTGTCATCAGACTATTGATTAAAATAAAATTGATATAATTACTAATATAAGAACCACTTATCATTCCTATACCCAAGAAAATCCCAAAATATATTGCAAAACCCAAGTTTTTGAACCTTTTATTAGCATTGAAGCTTATGGCAATTTTAAAAGTGTCGTATGGGTGACGTATTCCCGCTTTTAAAAAGCGAGCATTTGATTGGTCTATAGTTACGAGGCAACCTACTTAAATATCTACTAACCTTGGTAGTCGCTGTGAGTTTCGCCGGTAGCGCTCTCTCGCGGTTTGAAACTTGTACTTTTCTTGTAAAATCGGTGTAAGTGAAATATGACAAAACGAGAAAAATAGATATTTATCTAAAAATACAAAATAATGAACTGAAATATTATGGTAAACTGATTAATGAACGAATACACAGAATAATAGTTAAAGTAATTACGCCTTGTTATTTTATTCATTATAATTATAACATTTAAGATATAAGTTTCTTTGACTGGATGACTACTTACGCAAAAGGCCGTTGAGAAAAAGAAGAAGTGTATGTGAAAATATTTAATGGGGGTTTTTCTTCTTATTCTTTTTTGGGGCTACGTCCTTGATAGTTATCCGGTAACCTCAATATAACATGAAAGCGCAGTAAATTTTGCTGATTTCCAGGTGTCGCTGTTCCAAACTTGCAGGGTCCCAATAGCAAAGAATATAGAATCAGAGAACTACTGAACTACAGTTCTCTGATAGAATAGAAAATAGACGCTATGAGCCAGCTATGAGCATTGACTTTGACATGACAGACGACAGCCGATTCTTTTATCAAAAGAAAAATGGGAAGCGTGTAAATCGGTAGCATTGTAGCATTATTTATTATCTTTTAAATACGATAAATTAGTGGATTTATTCTCTTTAAATATAGTAGATAGAGGATTTAATAAAATGATGACCACAGATGAACGTTTACATATTGTAAGTAGCGATCTGTTCATATATTTCATAACAAAGTAAAAACTTTTTTACACATTTTTAATCTTGCTTTTTAGGATTGGGGTAATGATAAATTACATAGGACACAAAAGCAAGTTGAAAGGAATCCTTACGACTTAGAATCGTGGTCTATTCTTCTTAGGGAAGCCCAAACTAAACATATTTCAGAAGTTCGTGCCCTCTATGAACATTTGATTGGGATTTTCCCAAGTGCTTCCAGATATTGGAGGATATACATTGAACATGAGGTATATGGATTTTTCTGTTTGTATAATGATATTAATTTTAATTTCAATTAGACAATGTACAGTCTTACTACACTAGTACTTGCTAATACCCACATATTATTATGTTTGTCTAACAGGAATATATGCTTATATATTTTTGTTTATTTTCAGATGAAGGCAAGAAATTTTGAAAGAGTTGAGAAGGTATGGACTCATTTGGTACATTCAAGTAATGTTAAGTTTACACACTTTTTTTTAATAAAATTAAAGTGTTTTCAATTAATGATTTAGTTATTCTTCAACAACTCTGTGTTCAGAAATCAGGAGGTAGATTTTTGCATGTCACTAAAGATAACTGTACCACTGCTTTTCATTTTGTGAAGGTTTAAGTTAATCAGCATCTATAAAAGTAATGTGACAGAATGAAAGTTTACTTTCTGATTTAAAATTTCCTTTAATTTAAATGTGATACAAATAACACACAAAACCACCTACATACATTTTTTTAAACTTGTATCTTTAATTTTCTCTCTCTTTTTAGTAGAATATAGTTTATATGGTACATTTAATTTATCATAAATTCTTTCTGGTAGATAATACAAATCAATGCCTTTTCAATATAAAATATTTATAACCTATAACATGCAACTGAATCCATATGACCATTTTGATATATTTTTACTTGTAGTTTTTCTTCAAATTGTTTTAGAAGTTTATTCTTGAGTTTAAATAGCAGTTTCTGAATTAACTTATAGATATTTATTCAATGTGCATTAAGTAGTTAATTTAAGAATTATTTCAAACATACTGCCCTCATCTCATCATTTCTCTTTTTTCCTTACATAATTATAATTTTTGGTCAAAGTTCAAAGCTACTTGTCTTAAATCAATTTTCTATTTTGCTATTTTCTTTTCCCATCGTAGTTTATTGAATTGTGTTTATTTAAAACTTTTCAATATGGAAAAGGATGTAGATGACATTTAACCCTTTCACTACAGGCTAAGTATCTGTTGCATATTACATTGTGCAGGGAAAATTTTGCACTTCAAGATCGAGACAGCCACTCAGTAGTTTACATTTTTTCTATTGAATTGGTTGAATTGTTTTTCGTTTGTCTGTATTTATTAGTTGTATTATTATGAATAAAAACACTTTTTGACTGACAATGAACTATGAAAATGCCTTGAAGATACTGAAAGTGAATGTTATTTGTTGGATAATGAAAACCATTTCTCAAGCAAAGATGAATCTGAATATCAAGTGAATCAGAAGATGATATAGATTTTACATCAGTTGTTGATGAGATTGCAGCACCTAGCAAAAATCCAAATCCATTTTCAAGAGGAAAACATTCCCAAGAAAGTGATTCAAGAGACTCATGGGTTTTTGTTGATAATTTTGTGCCAAATGTAATGGATTTTGACTGCAACAACTCAGGTATAAATCCTAATTTATCTCTGCATCATATCAACGCTTAGGTAGATTTTTTGATGATAATATTATAACTCTGATCACCGAATAGACAAATACATATGCACATGTTTTGCAAACCAAAAGTCCAAGTTATTCTAAGTGGCAAGGTCTCAGTCCACAGGAAATGTACTCTTTTTTGGCACTGTGTATTTTAATGGGTATTGTTGAGACACCACTCCTATCAGATTATTGGTCAACAAATCCAATAATTTCTACTCCATTTTTTGATCAAATTTGTTCTTGGGATAAATTTTTGCTGACACTAGGTGCCCTTCATTTTGTAGATAACACAAATTTGGATAAAGATGATTACCTCCATAAAATCCGTCCTGTGCTAAATAGTGTTTAAAAATGTTTTTGAAGAAATCTCTCCATTTCAAGATTTGACAATTGACGAAAGCTTGATCTTATTTAAGGGTTGGCTAAGTTTTAAACAAATATTGAAATCTGCGATGCCGAAACAGGCTGTTTTAAATTTCGTTGTCTACACCAGCCCACAAATAGATCTTCAAAGAATTGACATACTGGGCATCAGTGGTGATGTCAATACCTTGATGCTTCCATATTAAAATAAAAAACATATTTTATATATTGACAATTGGTATAAGAGTCCTATTCTTTTGTATTATCTTCTATAAAAACAAACTGGAGCTTGTGCTACTGTGAGATCTACAAGACGAGGAATGCCACAATTTGGTCCAGTTGACAAAAGGAGAATGGGTTTTAGCACATAATGACAAAATGCTTGCTTTAAAATGGAATGATAGAAGACTTGTTCACATGCTCACTATGGTATACACAGCTGAACCAAAAGATACAAGAAAAAAGCATTTTCATACTGGAGAAAAAATTGTAAAACCTTTATGTGTAGTAGAACAACAAAATGGGGGCTATTGATAAAACAAACATGCAAATAAGCTTTGTTGAATGTATCAGAATATCTCTTAAATGGTACAAAAAGCTTTTCTTCCATCTGATGGATGTGGGGCATTGTATAACGCTTATGTATTTTCCAAGTTGTAACTGGAACAAAACTATCATTTTCGGATTTACGTTTGAAGGTTGTGACTCAACTTATAGAGAAATTTGGCAGAGTAGAAAAAAAATTACAAAACCATTGACAGTGGACAATCCACTTAGACTTCAAGAACATCATTTTTGGAGTCCAATTCCACAAACTTCCGCCCAAGATACCCAGACCCAAAGAAGATGCCACATATGTAGTAATACAAAGTACAAAGCTGAGAAAATGACAAAGAAAAGATGTGCGGCTTATGTGCAAAGAATGTGAAGTGCCTTTATGTGCCTATCCCTGCTTTGGAGTGTAGTACACCAAAAAGAAATTTTAGCTAATATAAATATATTACATTACTTTTCTAATACATTTTGTTGCAATAAATATTGTTTTAAACTATTGAATAAATGTTTAGTTATTTACAATGTATTGCTTTTCTTTTCCTTATTCGGCTAATGACCCAAAATAATGCCCCGGTTTTTCACCTCCTTATAATTAGTTATCAGGAAGTTTTTCTGAAAGATTAGTATGTAAACCAGATAAACTTTCCGGTAACAAGTTATCCGGAGGTGTAAAGACCTGGCCTTAAAATTTTTTTTCAAAAAAGGTATTCAGAAAGTATGGCGCTAGGGTGGGTGATGTGTTGCAGTGTATGTATGACATCAGTATGTTGTATTTGCGAATCGTAACGTACATGAACGATACTAGTAAGCAAGATGGACAATGTTTAATGTACTATTACAGTTATAGCTCTCCAAAGATGTAATTATTTAAAAATGTATCGCGACAGATCCAGAACTATGGAGATGTATTTTGCATAATAGTATGGCACTCGCTTATCAAAGCTGCAAATGAATATCATACTTTTACAGCAACAGTATTGAAAGGGTTAAATGTCATAAAAATAACATTAAAAATCATGTTTAACACACTTTCACATTTTTACAAATATAAAAATAAATTTGTCTCTATTTTTGTGTGTTTTTCTAATATAAATTGTAATATTAGAGTAATAGTGAATTGCTTGTTTTGATTTGTTTTTATTAGTCACTTTAAAGATTTGTTTATTAATTGTTTTACATTTGATGCATATTAATATGATTCAGTTTCCCAATAGAAGAACAAATAATACTTCAACCCATCTTACATGCTCAAGATTAGAACAAGTTTCCACACAATATTTCTTATTATTTTTTCATTTGATCTTCTGATCAGTTCTTTCAAATCACTTATTTTCTGTTTGCTGTTTTTTATTATTAAATATTCTTCTGTTGTCTTTAGATACACTGCTGATTTTATTTATGTTATTATATAAAGAGATCTCATGAAGAAAGTGTTCTGGTTGTACTTAAAAGAGAACTATTTGGATTTTTGTGCAAATCTATTTGATCCTCACTGGTCAACAATTTTTGGAAAATTTGATATTTATTTGCTGGTCTTATAAGCAACCTCCTTCACCTATTAGGGCGACGGGATCTCAAAAAACTGAAGTGCAAGAAAAACTTACCTATTTTAGCTGTACACGTTATTTAGAGTAGGGCAGCCAGTAGTATATTTTTGGCAGCTACATAAATTTAGTGTATTAGGAAAAATAATGTACATGGAGAAAAACGATTTTCAACCTGTTATTAAACAATATTATTTGAGAAATAAAATGGCGAAGACAACAAAGCAAAAGCTGGATAAATGTTGTGGAACCAATGCTTCTTCAGGCTATGCTGTTAAATTTTGGTTTACTGAATTTTGGGTGTACTGGATGGTCTACTAATGCAATTATACAGCAGGAAAATGTGAAAAATTTCATGAAATGGTTTTCGCTGATTGTAAAGTGAAGGTGTGTCCATGGAATATGAAAAAGTTATCCTACTGATGGGTGCCATGTTTGCTAACCATTGACCAAAAACATGTTCATCTGACCACTTCTCTCCAGTGTTTGTACCTTGTGAAGTGCAATATGTTGGACTTAAATAATTCTATTTTTCAATGGACCTACATTAACAATGTCATATCAAAAACTGCATGAACGTTAAGACAGTTTTTATTTAATTATAGAAGGCCCTATCTCCAACAACAAAGAATTAAATTTCCATACAATATGAGCATAAGTTAGAAGCAGTGATAATCTAAAAACTTGTTTTGCTAATATTCACAATATCTTGTTTTCTATTTAGTATTTAGGCTAATTTTCCTTTTCTTCCTTACCTATTTTATAGTTTTTTATGCTTTTATCTTTATAAATATTCTAGACCCAAAATATATTTGTGGTTTTTATAAGTTCAGTGAACAACACTCTAAAATAAGTGTTTTATTTTATAATCTCATTTGTTGACGTTTTTATATCCAAATGAAAAAACATTTACTAAAGTTGAGCTGAATATGGTGTGTTTTCTTTCCCATTTCCCTACACTGACAATAAAGGTTATTCTAGAAAGTGTGTAGTTTTGATTTAAATAAATATTCTCTCAACTATAGTCAATGTTTACACTTAAACAAATATTTTGTTAATTTAAATGGGGTTAATCTTTCATATTGGATTTTTTAAAATGTTTCGACAGCTTTTTCAACGATGTTTGATGAAGATTTTAAATATCGAATTGTGGAAGTTATATCTCAACTATGTAAAGGAAACAAAGGCGTCTCTTCCTACCTACAAGTAAGTATGTTTTAAATTACCATTTATTTTCCATTATCCCATTTTTAATTAATTTCTTATAGTTTTTATAGCATTTGTTAAGAGCCTACCAAAAAGATTAATTTGCAAATGGAAATTAAAAAACAATCTTATCTACATTAAATTTAAAATTTTACTGTAAATGAACCCATTCTAGCGACTTTTTTCTCTTCTTTCAATGGCTGTACACCCCAAATTGGACCTTGGTCTTCTGTAATCGCTGCTCATGCAAACCTTATCTGTAAATTCTGACACATTATATTTTCTATGATGTCTGCTAGATTTTTAATGGCTTCTCTTTGATCTTCTTTACTACAATTTTTTATCAATGTGTCTTCTTGATAACTCTCCATTCTGACTATGACCCATCCATCGAAGTTTCTGAAGTTTGGCAAATTGTGAGATATGTTTCTTTGAACAGTTGATAGAGGTCATGGTTCTATCTGGATCTTCATACTCCATTTTTATTGGTTCGTCCAAAGATCTTTCTTAGATTTGTTTTAACTTTTAATTTTCTGTTATTTGCTATACTTAAAGGGAATTCTAATTACAAGTGGAGGAAGCACATTTCTCAGTAACTGTTTTATCGTTTCCGCAGTATATTTTGAAGTTATAGGTATATCCACCGGCAACACATAATTTATAAAGTTTAATCCCAAACTTATGGCACTTACTTTTTAATGTACTGCCTGAATTTTAAGCAACTTAAAAAGGTACAAGGGTTTCGTCAACACAGACTTCTGCTTCAGGAATTACAACAGATTTAAATCTTTCAATTAATTTATCTGCCAGTGGCGAAATTTTACATTGGCATAATTTTTGTCATTTTTATACAAAATATTTGAACTTCAATAAGATTTTAGTTGTCCCTTTGCCTTGTATGTTTTGGTCTGGTGAACCTTGAAACTTGTAACCATACTATCATTGGTTACGAAATGTGGCAGTACTCCAACAACTTTCAAAATACTTAAGCAAAGTACTATCAGTATCTCCCCACTTAAGGCTCTTGTAATGAAGTTGCATCAGTAGTATCAGTTTCTTTCGTATCTCTAAACTTTTCAATAACAGAACTGATTATGTCGTCGACTGTATTGATTTGTTGCTCTTCTATCACTAAATCTTGAGGACAACTTTTTGAAGAAGTTTTCATCTGAAAAAGAATTCACTTTTAGACTAAATAAAATAAAAAATAAAAGACTGCTGGTATTTATCATAGAATCTCGTAGGTACCTCTGTAAATGTCGTAACTGAAGTATTAGGCGTTGAATCAGAATTGCTTGTCTTAGCACGTTTGTTTAGGCAATTATTGATACTAATTTTGTACTCGTCAGGTGATTCTTCGTCATCTGAAGATGTAAGAAATTCATCTGATTCATATACATTTTCAAATTCACTGTTTTCATCCTCATTCGACATCAGCTTCAACTGGAAAACTCTTTTCATTTCGTTAATAGTCACCCATTTTGATTAAAATGCTGTTATATTTACAACACAACGCGAACACAACAACCAAATAACTGAGGTTGTGATTGTCAGGTGCATAGACAAACAAGATACGCGCTTGCATAGTACGAATTCACATTAGGGGTTTGTGTCATCTCATTGATGCCACGCCGACCCTTGATGATCAAACTGTTCTTGAGATGGCATGTGATCAACATGATAAACAATTAAAAATAATAATAACATAAAATTTTGCATAAAATATACTTTGGGAATACATATTTTAAGTAAATAAATAAATAAAAAAAATCGCCGCCGAATAAATTTTTTAAACCTATATATAGCCATCCTCAACGTGTTAAACAATAAATGAAGGAAATTTTTTTGAAGGAAGAGTATACCTAATATTAAACTATTTATATTACCATCTAACACAACAAAATAATTTTTTTAATTTGTATTTTGAGAACTATTTCCGAAGTGGAAACCGAAACGTCAAGATAAATTTATTTTAAACTGAACTTGTGGTCAATTTCCAATAAAAATAGTAAATAATCATCAATATACACTTTAGACCATATTTGTTTATTCTTTTCTCTACGTTGAACTTACTCCAACGGTCGTAACAATGTTCTTTTCTAATTGCTCTATATTATTTAATTATCTACCCCACATCGTTTCCGTGTCATTATTCACCCACTTCGATTCTACTATATCGCGTTTATTTTTCCATAGCTAGTTAGACTTAAACCAAAATAAGTCGCTGAACACGCTCTAAAATTAAAATGGACCTAACGAAAAGAAAGATACAAAGATGGAACAAATTGATTGGATTTTGAAGACCATATACTGCGAACAACCTCCGTACTACATATCGTCCCCTGAATACTATAACTAGGTAACTTGAAAATAGTCGTTTCTCAGGATATCAATTTAAAGTTTTGAGCAGAAAAAAAATCACAAAATGATGGCAGAACTTGTGCTTTTGGTTCTAAAATGATAGTATATTGAATGAGCTAAAATCTTTTTATTGGTAACAATAAAAAGTTTTAGCTCTTTTTAATCGACGAAAAGACAAAAATCAACATATATAAAAACACACGTTACTCACTATTGCTTATTTCACTTTCAGAATCTGCGTTAGGGCGAGCGCCCACCAAAGTGGCGTGGCAGTGGCAAGTAGCAAGTAGCACGCGTCTAGCATAATGTAACCAATGAAAACGAATGATTCAGTTTACACCAAAATGACAGTAACGTCATTCATTCTAATCATTCGTTAGGATTGGTTACATTAGGGCTAGACGCGTGCTACTTGCTACTTGCCACTGCCACGCCACTTTGGTGGGCGCTCTCACTTAGGTTTTCCGCGTGTATCCTCCACGAAAGGGAGGTTTTCGTAGTAATGTCTATATTGGTTTGAAAGTGAAGGAGGATTCATGTGAAAGAGTGATGTAAGATCATTATACTTTGCTAACTGAATTGGTATTTTAGATTGATACAAGGGTCTCAGAGAATTTAGTGAAATAGCTCTAGTTTTCCTTATGCAGTTTAGAATTCTGAAATCGTCGTCAAAGTTTTCTTTAAATCTAAGAATAAAAGGGATTGATTTAGAAACATGCATCCAACACATTTTCTGCCAACGCACTGGTTGGCGGTTCTCATCTTCCTTTCTAAAAATCATATTTCGTTCTGCATGAGTTTTCCAGTCAAGTATTTGCTCCTGTGTTAAGTCGTGTACAATATACGGTTTATCACCCTTTCGGCTAGCGCACCTAGCAATAGTTTTCCAGTCTTGAGGCCAGTTTGCTTTACCAACCCGTTTTGGTTCCGTAGAAATTGCTGAGTGCATAGAGTCGCACTCCATTTCGCTATGTCCCACCGTTAAGAACATGAGATCTATATTATTCACGTGTGGAATCTCTTGTACAGCCGTTAAACACATGCCAGCCACAAACTTATTAAGGTTTTGTCCCCCACATCTGTCACTAAAACACGAAATTTGTTCAACAGAATTAGGTAAAGATTTGAAGAAACTGTAAACACAACTAGCAATCTCACAGCTGCCACGTTTACCTTCAACTTCTGTCCACATAAAGCAATCTCCCTGTTTCGAAACAACATCATAAATAGAAAAATTAAAAATCTTCAGACGTTGTTTATAAAATAATGCGTTATTGGTAGGATCATTGGGTACAAGAAGAACTGGTTGAAGGTCGAAATTTACAACTAACAATTTTTTCCATTAGAGTTTTCTGTCATCTGTTTTCGGAATCTTTTTTCATCTCGAGCTCTGTCTTTTGCTACTAAATGTGCTTGATATTGAGTTTCCAGGGCGGTCTTGTCATTTGTAGGGGTATTATAACATTATAAGCCACACAAATGCGGCACTGATCTTTTCTTGGACGATAAAACCCAAGGTTGTATTCTTCAGTGAAGACTTTCCTATAAATAGAAACACTAGCAACTTCTTGATTTTTCTCATCGCATTCTTTTTTATACATCGAGTACATTAGAGTTATATTTAAATCAGCAGATAAATATTTTCGCTGTATTTTCGCACGGCAGTAATGCGAAGACATAATTGGGAACTTCTCAATGTGACATCTTACAGTTTCTAATGTTTCGGGTCGTGTGACTTTCTTTACATGCTTACCCCTTTTGTCCTCTAAACTTGTATTTTCGTTTGTTCTATGCTGCATGGCAATATCTGTGACCCCTTTTTTAATTCCAAGTGTGTTAACAAACATTGTTTTATACACCTGAATTCTTGTATTTTGTGGTAAGAAAAACGTTATCGTATTGTTACGTCTTAAGTCTTCCTTAGTGTGCCATTTTTTTGTTGTCTTCTCGGTTTGGCTGTGGATAAAATCCCTTTTTCTTTCATACGATTCGAGTCCATAGTATCTCCTAAAAACCATTAGCCTCTCCTCGCGCGAGATCTTTTCACTACATTTTCGTCTACAGCTAATTGGACACGGATCTTTCATTGCAACTCCTGGTATATATTTACCCGTAGCAGAAATATACATTTCGCCTTGTTGCCTTTTTAGCTTAGCAACACTCCTTTTCCATGCTTGTGGATTACGCAATATTTTTCTAGATCTGTTTGTTTTTACTGGCGTTTCTTCTATACCATCTAATTGGATAGATGTTGATTAGGTCAGTATCGCTATCAGAAGATTCACTTGATGAAGTCGGATTGTATTCTGAATTGATTGGGGAGTAAGGATCAAAATCGGACTCCAATTCATCATTTACATTTGACGCACTAGGTCCAGCTTCACATTCCTCAGTGACACATTCCAATTGTATTTCACCTATATAAATAGAAATAAATTATAATTATATTTCAAAAGTATCATTCAAATAACCTACCAAAAAGTACATCTTGCTCTATAGATTGTTCCAGGGTTAATTCAGTGCCTGCATTTACCCGAATATTTGTGGGGCTTTCTATGACTGAAAAGAAAATAACATTAAATTGACAATTTACTACGATATATACAGAACTGCTGACGTATGGGTGTACAATCAAATAA